AAGTTTGGATTTGTGAACCTAATGAACATCAGCAATATGACATAAAACAGTAACGAATTCCAACGTCTACGTCTGTGTAATTTGTGCTGATTTGATATCTGTTAATATATGTGTGTCTGTGCACAAATGTCTTAATGCATCYTAGTATGAAAAATGTAATCGCTATGTGTGTGATCAAGTAATATAGCACAGTGAACATAATGAACAACTCCTATATAAGCATGATATGATTTGTGCTATATTACATAAAACAATAACAAAATTAAAACTATTATTACACAAAGTAGATAATTAAAAAGAGCAACAAAGATGTGAATTTACTGAAATTGAAAACTTAGTGAAGAATGTATATTGCTTGTCATCCCGAAGTCAAATCTTTAATGAACATAATGAACAGCCCCTATGTAGTTAGTCTTCAAAACTAAAACTATTATTACACAAAGTAGATAATTAAAAAGAGCAACAAGGATGTGGATTTACTGAAATTCAAAACTTAGTGAAGAATGTATATTGTTTGCCATCCCGAACTCAAATTTTTAATATAGACGTGTTCACATTAGCGTGTTCATAGCTATCGTATGTTCATATTGGGACATTTATTGATCATTTTCTTCACTTTCGGAATTCGAATTCCGAATGTATTCGTAGACGMTTTTAGCTTTTTCATTCTCATTGTCGTCGATCCGTTTTACTCTATKATTATCCATATTAYTCGGACTATAACRGAATCTTTACAAAAKAGATTTTTTTTCWAATTTACAATATCAAAACCATTATAGGAAGAATAAATGTAAAATTCAGTAAGATGAACACATGTGAAACCTCATGTCATTATTCCATGAAGATCAATTAGTGACATTTTAAAATTTATAACTCCCAATTAAAATATTTGGGAGTTACATAAGAATGATAAATTACCTAAATACACTTACAATTAATATATGAGTTACATTTGAACCTAACTCAAAGATGGAACATGATTGGTTGATGTTGGTTAGCATAGTTTGCTTAATAGTTTTGGTTAGTATTTGAACCAACACCTCTTCCTATATATATATATATATATATATATATGCACACACACATACAAACGGTCCTCGAGTAGACAACATCACTATCAATAATTTTATTGAATCGACAAACAATGAATATGTTGTCATAAACATTTGGCTCTCCCTTTCGTATCCGTCCCCATCTTTTGTCAATCGCATAACGTCTTAATTTGTCACAACGATGACATTATAGCTCGTGTTGTTTAAATATATGGCGGTCACGTAGTTACTCATATGGAACCCGCAATATTATTGAATGTTGTTTTATCTGTTTAAATAATAAAAAATACGTAGGTGTTAAATCCTGATACACATTTGAGCTAGAATTTAATTTAATCGAGTAAAAAATTCAAAATACACATGATAAAACAATCTGTTTAAAAATAGACTGTTTTTAAAAAAACATGCTAGTTGTATTGGAATCTTTTGCTCCTTCACTCGATAACCTTAGGGTTATATGCGTTATTCTGTAAAAATTGGATGTTCGCGTCAACTTGTGTGTACCTTGACTAATCTCATTGGTCCTAAACCTTTGTGTTTTGGTTCCATGAAAGTTTGTACTTGTATTTTCTGATTTCGAGAGGCAAAAAGTCTTTAATCGAACGCTTTTTTTTATTAACTTGGATATCCAACTCGTTATGCGAGCCGACTAATCCCAGGGCTACCACCTGCTTTGCGGATAGTCCGGAGTCACCGCATTTGAACCTCCGTGGCCATAAGTGGATTTTTATTCCTATTTGGATTTGAACCTGG